GTACTGATAAGAAATCGGAGCAGAATTCTTTCTAGTGATTTCACAATCACTGAGGTGAGGGCTATTGGTCTGTAGTCCTCATGTTCTTTTGGGCAGCGGTTTGATGTGTGAAGTTTTCCATGACAGAGGGATGGTGTGCGTGTCCATAGAAGCCTGAAAGATGGGTTGCCACACTGGAGCCAGCTCAGTAGCAAAGTTTCTCAGCAGAAAACCGCTGCACCCATCTGGCCCAGCCGCTTTATTGGTGTTGGTGCAATGAAATGTTTTTCTGACCTCTTCCACACTGATGGTAATTTTCTCAGAGGAAGCAGGTATTATGGTTTCGAGCATTTCAGTGCACTTTGCAGAATTATCCAGTGAATCGAAAAGGGTAAAGAACGTGTTTAGTTCGTTAGCGAAACAAAATGCATTGTTCGTCACAATAGTTTTAGCTGAGGATGACATTCCTGTCATGGATTTCATGGTGTCCCATACCTTTTTGGGGTTTTTGGCTTTAAAAGCATTTTCCAAAAGCTCTCTGTGTGCCAGTTTTGATTCCCTCAATTTGACTTTCAGTTCTTTCTCTGTCTGTTTAAGTGCTCCATAGTCTTTGTTTTTGAAAGCTATTTTCCTGGTATTTATAACGGTTTTAATGTCCTTAGTCACATAAGATTTATTATTTGGATAGATTTGTATTTCTTTAGTGGGAACAACTAGTTCTACACAGAAGTTGATATAGTCATTGGTAACAGTAGTTATTTCATCTAGTGAACCTTCCTGAAAAATGTCCCAATCTGTCCAATCAAAACAGGCTTTCAACTGTTCCCTACTTTCATTTGTCCATGTCCTTATTACTTTCTTTTCCGTTTTACTTCTCTTCAGTTTGGTTTTATACGCTGGTATCATATTCACAACATTATGATCAGAGTTCAGTATTGGTGGTCTACATTTAGTCACATAGGCTCCTTTAACATTTACGAAGCATTTGTCCAGGATATTGTCTTTTCTGGTGTGATCCTTAACATACTGTTGGAACCCAGGTAACACAGTCTCTAGGCGACATTGGTTCATGTCCCCGAGCACTATTGCCGGTGCATCGGGGTGGCTGAGTTGCAGCTCGTGAACACAGTCAGCGATGGAGCCGGCCGCCAGTGACGCTCTGCCGCTGGGAGGCACGTAAACAACAAACAGTCAAATACACCCGAATTCTCTAGGTAGATAGAAGGGTCTTAACGTCATGCCGAGAATTTCTACGTTGGGATCACAGGTTTTACATTTTACTGAGTATGATCGGCACCACAGATCATTAATATACACACAAATACCGCCTCCTCTGGTTTTCCCCGAGTTTGCATCCCTGTCTGATCGAACAAGGGTGAATCCGGGTACTTCAAAGAGAGATTCAGGCATCGTAGATTGTAGCCAACTTTCCGTGAAACATAGTAAAGAGGCCTCACGAAATTCATGACAGTACCTTGTGTATGTCCTTAGTGTGTCCACTTTGTTGCTCAATGAGCGCAGGTTTGTGAGAATGATGGATGGAAGTGGTGGCCGGCTGAATCTCCGCCGTAGGCGATTCCGAACGCCTCCCCTCCTTCCTCGTCTCTTTTTCCTGATGTGTCTAAGCAGCTCCCGAGGGATGTCATCCAATAACGAAGAACACAGGTGGCTTGGTGTATTCGTAGGAGGCCGATCGCATTGTAGCTCCAGCATAGCCTCGCGGCTGTTGCAGCGTAGAGGCCGGGGCTCCTCGCCGTACCTGTTCGTGTTGTGGCTCAGGTGTGTTTTGAAAAGTTGTATGGCCAGACATGGTCCGCAGAAGGCAAAAGTAATCCACAGGATCAAAAGTATGGTCTCTGAAAAATGATGTGTCATACAGACAAATAACGTTTAGACAATAATTAGCCCAAAAACAAACAAACAAAAACAAAACAAAACACAAGACGGACGGAGCAGCTGAGACGCGGTGCGCAGCCGAGCAGCACACTTCACTGCACTACCTGCTCTTCACGTAGCTCTGCATGTCGTCGTTTAGGTGCTTTCTGGAGATCCACTCCTCCATAGTAAGGCCACCCCGGAGGTCGAAGTTAATCTTAAATGTTTCCATCTTAAGCTTTGTTAGTTAGTTAGTTAGTTAGTTAGTTAGTTTCGTAACGGACTTAATGTAACGGACTTAATGTAACAGCTGTCACGGTTGTAGCTTTTCTCAGACGCGGAGGGATACTGACTTGTGAAAAGTAACTACAATTCTACCCGTGATATACGCTCATTATATCATGGCTAAGAACCAATCAGAATGCTTGATTTGACTTGTCCGTTTTATAAAGTGTTATTATGTACCACAAGCAAGATCATATTATCATGGTGATGAAATTAAGTGTTCATCGTCCATCTGTTATTGGTTTCCAATCTCACAGCTGGGGAACATCTGTCATCCTACAATTTAAAATGATCCAAATAACTGTTGAGTCATTTTCTGTCTTCTGACAAATAGATTAATCATCAAGTATTTGTTCTGGTGCTGCAGTTATGGGAATTACAATTACCTGCTCTGGACATCAAATACTATCTCATATTTCTCATCGGCATCAATGCCACAATGTTTATAGGGGTTGAATTCCTGTCCCCTATCTACGACACAATAAAATATCCAGAAATGTACAAAAGCATAATAATCTGTCATACGTCAATTAACGTAACGTTTCGAACTTGATGCACAAAACGTTAACAATTATGAATACAAACAAATGATGCAATCATAAAAAGACAAGGCATGTCAACATTTCGATCAATTCAATTATTATATTGCAACTACACAGGGCTCCCTTGGCAAAATGCAATGGGATTTTTTTTATAGTTTTTTCAAATATTGCAGCCAAGTATTTTCTGTACATTACAATCTTTGGAAAACAAACATTTAAGAAATTGCCTTTTGAAAACCCATAAAACTTCAGATGCAACCGGCAGAAGTAAGAAGCCAACGTTAGGCTATAAACAAACTATCACGGTCACAAGGCTTCGCGTTAAGCTTAAAGTAGCTAATGTTCCAGATGGTAATAAGTAGGCTCATTTAGCTGCTTTGATCAACTTAATCAACAGAAAGGGTTGTGCAGCTTCATCTGACTTTGAGCTTCAACACACTGGTACTACCCTCTGTCAGCATCTTTGCTGAGGATTTACTGTTAAGAAAACATTGGTGTATTCCTTACACACCAGACAGGACAACTCTAATTGAAAAGAAAATGTCACACACACACTTGATCCTTATTACCAAGTGCTGCTCCTGCTTCCTCGTCAACACACTTTTAGCTAAAGCCGGTCCCGAGGCTACCCGCCGACGAACATTAGGCTCTGGTTGCCGTTTCTATTTACATTCCTCGGCCTCAGAGGAGCCAACTGCTCCGGGATCTGGGGGCTAGGACTGCTTACAGAGCACACCGGGCTCCCACTGGAGGTTGGACTGTTCAGTGTTTATGAGGTTCAAAATATGAAATACTTTCACTCATTAAGCAGATGGGGGTGGCACCGTGGGAGGGTCTTGATGACACTACACCAGGGGACACATTATGTTATGGGACAATCTCTCTTGGACCATGCAGCCTTTTTGTCAACTAACCAACCGTCTTGAGAGTTGCTTTCATTTAATCTTCATGTAAAAAGTAAAAAGCATCCAAACTGAAATTTAAGTAGATGATACAGCAGTATCATTTTTGGAGTATTTTAATACAAGCAAGGGCCGAGAAAATAACATGGTTTGCATTCACATCTATGAAAAACATCAAAAGAAATACAAAATAAAAGTGGCAGAGTGTGAATGAGATTTACACAGCTGTACAAATCCTATTACAGAGAAAGCAACTCCTCACAGTTACAGCAACCAGGTTCAGTCTCATACAATCAGAGAACACTTAGTGAATGCTGATTGGTTGTTTTTTTTGTAGTTTCCCTTTCCTGTAGTGTGTTATATAGGTCTTTGTGCATGATAATAGTTACAGAGTCACAGGGTCTACAAGCAATCAAGTGCACTTAACATAAAAACTGTGGGAAATTAATTTGGATAGTCTGTTGGGCTACCTGTAATAGCATATTTTGTGATGTTGTGATAATAATGTACAATCCTGTATATTTGTATATTTATTTCGTGTATTCAATAGATATACTGTATAGATATATATTTCATTATCGACTACTCACGGTTTTGTTCACCTGTTTTGTTTCTGCTGACATATCTTTACTGTTTTTTTTATTGTATTTTATGTTATTATCATTATTTCACTTTTAATTCATGTGCAATATCTTACCTGCATGCTGCTGTGACGGAAATAAATCTCCAATTTGCAAACAATAAAGCATATGTAATCGGTAAGGTATTTATTTAAATGTTAAAAAAGCCGCGTGCAGGACGGTCAGCTCCACGCGGGTTGCACGGTCGAGATGCAGCCCTTTGAAAACTTGCCTTTTTGTGTTCATATCCTTAACAAGAGTGGACTTCAGTAAAACCACACATTTAAACACGCCAATAGAGCTAACACACATGGAGGCTGAAGTTAACCGAGCCGTGCGGGACGGTCAACACGGCAGCAGCACACCGGTTCATCCCTCTATCCCTCCGCACCGTAAACTGTCACAAAAAGCGGAGACTTACCCTTCACTGATAGTCCGCTCAGCACCGGGAATAGGAGGAGGAGGAAGAGGAAGAGGAGTAGGCTCGGCGCTCAGTGTGTCCAAAAGCTTTCACAAAACACTTTTTGTTGTCCGTTGTCCGTTACAGAAATGAATTCCCGTGCTTGTGTCAGTTTGTATCCGGTCTCACAACGTGGAGTGGAAGCGGCAACAACAGCGGCTCCTGACGGTCTCCGGCCAGCCTGCTGTCAGCGCTCATCCAACGCAGGGGGGAGCGGAGGTTGCGGCTGCGCATGCACCAACCAAATGCAATTGTGAAACAAAGATCGTCTAAAGAAAAGATGGACCAAGTAAAGCTTTTTAGAGACATGCCAACCTGAGGTCATGTCCTCAGTAATATATTTGAGACCACAGTAGGCTATATTGTTGTTTTTGTGTTTTTTCTAACTAGATTTCTAAGAATTAATTACCAAAATGCTATATTTGATAAATGAATTGAAAATAGCAAAACAGACATAATTGAGGAGATATAGCCTAATCTACAGAAAATATCATCAAAAAGTGAAATGCGTCTAACCATGATATATTTATTTCACAACAAAACATAGAGATATGGGAATTTCCTGCAGATGTGGCAGTGTGAGTAAAGATTTGTTTGATGAACTTATTGACATTCTGCAGAATATACGCACAATAGTTATAACTTTAATGCAGCTACATCAAAAATGCTAGATATGTCTCTGCTGAGCTCAAGATAAATGGATGATTATCCACAACAATTTTTACTCTGTATACAAGCTTTCTCCTTCAGCTGCTTAAATGTCTGGAGCCAACTGGAGGTTGGTATGCATGTTCCATCTGTAGCCTCTAATTTGAACACTGCCGTGCCATTACCCCGTGTGTCTGCATTCTGTTTACTTCATGTGCAGTGCAGCCAAAACCAGCACGCTGAAAAAAAACAACTCAAGCTTCTCAAACTGGAACATTTATTGACGACTAAGAAAGTCAGTCACTGTACATAACAATTAGCTTGTGAATCACTGTGTTACAAAATTAAAATGTGCAACAATATTCAGAGATAACTTGACTTACTCTGCAAACCTAAAGGGGCTGTATTATGCTCTTTGGGTTTTTTCCTTTCCTATAATGTGTGTTTGTATGCATTTAAATGATCCGGAGTGAGTCCAATTGGCTAGCGCTCTAACACATTGTAAGTGATATGATTAGGGGCAGACGGTGAAAAAAGCTGCTGCAGCACAGCCAGTATGAGAAAATGAAAGACCTTTTTGAACATTAGGCGTGGAAACATGTCACAGTAGAGGAACAAAATACAAATATGAGCCTGAATCTGAGCAAAATAGGGCTCCTTTTATCCACTTTGAAAAAAACATGCTGTGTTTTTCTACTACACAGTTGTTTTTACCTTGCACCACTTTAATTTGCACTGTGATTAAAGTCTGATAACAGTTATGCTACTGTCTTTTAAGGATTGTGCTTGTATACTAGGGCTGAACGATTAATCGATTTTAAATCGAAATTGCGATTTGAAATGATGCGATTAACAAATCGCAAAGCCTGCGATTTCTTTTAACATCTTTTTTTTTTTTTACTTTTTTTTTTTTTTTTCTTGTGTGTCAGTCATCCACACCAATCAGAAGTGCTGTGCTCCACATGTACCAGCCATTGTTAACCACTCAGAAGTGGCCCATGATAGAAGGTGATAGACAGATTGATCCAATAGGCGCGTTCACACCGCAGTACTTTTCCCACAAAGGTTCATGAGAACTTAGTTCATCAGAACTCTGTAGTTCTGATGAACTAAGTACAGATCGCGTTCACACCAGAATAAGTCCCTGAGGGAGGATTAGGCAAATGAAGCCGCTGTCGTCACTTCTTCTTCTTCTGCTTTGGGTTTACTGGCGCACCGCAAACAACTTCACGGCGTATACTGCCACCCGGAGTCTCCGGAGTTGGCGAAAGCTTCAGTAGAAGCTGCTGGGACTCCCAGCAGCTTCTACTGAAGCCTTTAGAGTAAATCGCCAGAACGCCGATACCTCCTCATCTCCACCGCTCCCATGTTTTTTTTTGTGTTGCCATAAGTTAGTCTCTCTGCGTTTCTGCGCTGGGCTAATACTAATGCTAATCATGCTAATGCAAGGATAATAAAATGGCGGCTTCACAAAACTTTTTGGGAGTTTGACGGGCGTGGTTTGCATTCCGCCCAGCCAATCAGACATAGGAACCTTTTTCTCCCACGGAAGTACCTGCTCTCTAGCAGGGACTAAAAAGGAGGTGAAAAGGTTCTCATGAACTAATTTTAGTTCCAGCTCTTTTTGGTGTGAACGCAACCATTTCGGAACTAAAGTTGGAAAAGTACTGCGGTGTGAACGCGGCTAATCACCTGCCAAGTATTTTTGAAAGTGCCTGCCCTTTCCAAATGGCTTCCAATGGAGCTTTCCTAGATGGTTTGGTGAAACAAACCATCTGAGTCAGGTTAGTAATGCTCCATCACATGTGTTACATCTATTACAGGGTGAATCTTAAACTGAAGCTTGACTTTAAAGCAACCCAACGGAAGTTTCATGTAAGTTTAGTTCTTTCACTCGTAGCTCGGGCTGCGGGGGTGCTAGAGACGGGAGCATGTTGATACGACCTTCCTAGCCGGAGTTATGGCCGGATTTTACAATAAAATTATGTTGGGTCGCTTAAAAAACAAATATCGCAATTCGAATCGCAATCGCAATATTTATCAGAAAAGTCGCAATTAGATTTTTTCCCAAAATCGTGCAGCCCTACTGTGTACATATGCACCTGTGAGAGATGTACAGAGCTGTCAGATATTTTTTATCCTATATCTGTAATAGAGAGGTGAATGAGTGAATGAGTCCTCAAACCCAGAAATGTTTAAGCACTTTTCCCTCATCTTGAAGTCAATGATGTTTTGAACATGTTTGTGGTTAACAGCCAGAAATAAGGTCGATGGTTAGCATAAGCTTAACAAATGTTACCCCACACGTGAATGTACAAAGCTTCTATGTGTCAACAAAATGGCGGATGCTAACAAGTGACAAAATAAACGTTCAAACAACACCACACTGTCACTACCCGATCTGCAGTGCGCATGTGCGAGATGGTCCGCCATATTGGACAACTCCGGACGGCAACCCAAGTAGGACACTTGACACAGTGGCTTTTGGCAAAGCTCAAAAAGAAAACTCGAGAGGGATGAGTTATTGTTATTACAACGTGACTTCACTATTATTTAACAACTCTTTTTATTGGGTTCTCTTTATTTGGGGTTAAGTCGATTGTCAGAATAAGTGAGAAATGGATTTAACTAGCTGCAGATCGGGTAGTGACACAAACCAAACACTAGCCGCCTTTAGCTTAGCGGTGGTGATGCGCAGCCATGCCACGTGATGTGTTTAGTTAATAGCCTAATGTTAGCTGTTTACTTCTGCTTTTTTTTTCTGATTGCATTCACGCTTTAAAAAAGTGGTATAATTATGTGAAGATTATCACGTTGAACAAAATGTGGGTTTGCCACAGAACATATTTTTCTGCAATATACCGAAATCCAATTGAAAAATCCAATTGCTTTCTATCGAGTGAGCCCTTGCGATGCTAACTTCCAGGTCGGCCAAACTACGTCATTGCTGCACTACTATGTGTTACAGATTAGATCATATTAGATAGATTCTTTAGCTGTATCTATTAAAAAAAATTATTTGTATTCGGAGAGAACAACGCAAGTGGTCGTGGCTTATACAGGAAACTTAAATACACGTTAAACCGGGCAAATATTGTATTTCCAATCCTAATATTCATTGACAATGCAATCGTTGTGCCTTGAGAGATTCAAATTGATTGATTGATTATAAAATGTAAACACGTTCTTACTCTACTTTCTTATCTTGTCAAAAGTAAAAACATTTTATTTATTCATCACATATTTCCCCCCCCATTCTAGATAGAAAGAAAAACTATTTTTACTGCATTATTTGTGCTTTTCAAATAACATATCCAGTTGCATCCCTAGTACCTGTGTAGTCTTGGGCACAGTTGAAGCCCTGGAGGTTGTCATTGTCCCTGTCCTTGGTGGAGAACATCATGCCAGAGTGGTTGCTCATGGGGTCCGGCACCTCTCCAGACAGATGCGTGAGGTGAATGGTGTAGTTGCTCTCAGGACCATTAAGGTTGAATCTGTATTCTATGAAGCGCCTGTCCTGTTTCCAGTCTTCCAGCTCGATGTGAAGGACGGAGTTTCCCTGAGCGGCCAGAGAGTGGATCTTTCTGAGACCGAGCCAAAACTCCCCTGTTAGAGAAACATCATTTAGCGGTCACAGCTGACATGATTTAACAAGCACCTTTGAGAAGTGATGCACACAAACGTACAGAATATTTTCACTTACAGAGGTTGTAATGTTATAATCATGATATACGTCAAGTCATTTCAAATTTGGCAGATGAGAATACATTTTCTAACTATAACATGGGTAATTAAAGTCTTGAGAACAGAGCTGTGTCTCTCACCTTGAAAATCTCCAAACCCATTTTCATACTTCTCCCAGATTTGATCGAAATTTACTGAGCCGTCGTTTCTTCGCTGAATGACTGTGGCTCCGTGATCTAAAATGGAACAAAAGGGAAAAAACAATCACTACTTTTAAAGTTCTATCTATATTTGTTTTGTTAGTGGCTGAGTCTGCCTTTCAAGAACTGGATTTTAATAATCTTTAAACATATTAGAGCATTCACTTGACACAGTCCATGCATGGAACCCACTCTCTACACAGGTGCATTATACTGCTAATGAAAATCAAAATGTTCTACTGTTGCTTTAAATTAGGTTTACAACTTTAAGTAAAATATAAAATATAGATTGATTGACTTAATAAAGACTAAACAAGGTATACAATATGAAAAAACTAGTCCTGTGCTCTGTTAAAGTTTAATATTTGTGTGTTGGTACAGTACCTTTGCTCATGTCACAAAAAGCCATAAAGGGCTCCGCTCCGGTGGGTCTGATGACATAGAGGCCACTGACTCGTTCCCCTTTGTTGAACAGGTCACTGCAGTCCAATGGCAGGTCTATTTTAATAAGGCCCACAAGTATAATGTTATAGTTAAAACTGCCCTGCATAAAGATTAGCTTTAAATCTGGAGCAGTGCACTTGTGTGGCAGTTCATATCAGCAATAAAACGTGTGCAGGATCATTGATTGCTCAGTAAAAGCTGAAAATGTTTATCAGGCAGGCAGGTAGGTATGAAATTGGAAGCGAAAAACTTATGGAAATTATCACATTACAATTCCAAATCGATGGACATGGCAAAGGTTTTGGGCCTGCAAAAAATAAAAGACGCCAGATCCTAACATCGACATTTGCAAATGTTTTATTTTCCTTACTCGTCATGCCGTTGTTAAAGTTTGAGGTCAAATAAGGGGTGAGTGTTGGTGCTTCATTGTTGTAGGTTTCAGGCATCCTCTCAATGGTCTCCTGGGCCAATGTGTTGACTGTAAACTGTGGAGAAATAATAAGCAAAAACTTTAGCATAAAGAAATAATCCTAATGCTGATCATGGTGAAATAATTTAGATTCCACATGTAAAGACTTTGGGTTGTTATTCTGCAAAATACTTTTTCTTTAGTGTTTAAGGTTAAAGAGTAAAAACATCAGTTTTGAGCTGTCAAGACGAAGGAAAGTTAAAATGAGTTATAACACTGAGGCATTGCCTAGGTTGTTAAAAATATGGACAGCTCCTTTATTATATCAGCACCAAATGATATAGTACAGTACCAGGAAAATGTCTTTCTACAAGCACATTAAATGCAATGCAATGAGGGTGACAGCCCATGTATCAAAAAGCTGGCAAAAAATGATCTTAGGAACTAGCTGAAAGGCCATGAGATTAGAAATGACTTTCCAATACTAATTAAGGGATTGTCTGAAAATGATGGGGCTGGGGGAGTGGCGTATTTAATAATAAAACAAAAAAAAGCTACCTTTCAAGCTACCGTTCCTTGAATGCAACACCCTCCAACAAAATATCTCAAAATAATATATTTCTAATGAAAATATCAGATTACTCTATAGCCAGATATGTATGACATCCTAAATTACACATTGGAAACGTTTCTGCCAGACAGCTTTAAATATGAATGTGATAACTATAAAAAAAATTCTCTTACAATAAATCTCACAACGAAAGTGTGAGAAATTTTGAAAAGGCCATCCCAAAAGATATGACCCTAAGCAAAAAGGGGAACTAGACTCTCACCCACTTTAAATGTCATCAATCCATTAAAAAACTGTAATCAGTTGTTATCACTTTTATTTTGAAGCTTCTAATATGACTAACAGGATGTAGGTGTGAGCTATTGATTCCTCAGACTTCTCACTTACTGTATGCTATCTCCGCTATTTATTCAGCAAGGACAATGTTGGGACATTCTGGGATTTTGAAAGCTGCCAATTGGGATTGGCTGAATAAACACAAACAACCAAGAACGTTTATTTCACAATAGTGCAGTAGTAGTAGTAGTAGTAGTAGTAGTAGTAGTGGTAGCAGCAGCAGCCTGCAGTTTTTAACATGCGGTTCACATTGTGAATTGAAACAAAACTACTTTTTAAGGTTTAAACGTTGCTTAAGCTAAATAAGTACATAGTTAGCTTACGTACACACGTTAGCTTACGTACTGTATGTAGCGTACAGGAAATACTATTGGATAAAAGTCTGGTGTATATTTGCACTTGGCTTCTTTCTTTTCTCCTGTAATTACTATGACGTCGTAGGTTGCTCCCTAATTATTTGTAACCTCCCTACAAGGTGATACAGCTTGCAATAGCCTACTGAGCCAAATAAGAGGTAGAGAAGGGCCATACCAACTAAAATCTGTGCTTTAGATGACAACTGATAATAGCCATTTAATAGGCTGATAACAATTAAAAAAACGATGTCCCTTTAACACCCTCTTCGCCAATAAAACATTTCCAACGGTCCCTAGCAGTTACCTTTTCCTCCAGAGTCTTGAGCTTAACCCTCTGGTGGTTGAGCTGATCGCTCTGCTCCCCCACAGCCTTCAGCAGCTCTGTGATGCTCCGCTCCTGGCTGTGGATCACCTCCTGAGCCCGGAAGAAAAGTGGAATCATGGGAGCAGTTATAGAATGGTGCTATTTATTGTTAATATCACATAAAATACTCCCTTCACACATTTGGAGAACAAATGCAAAACAAAACATGGGTAAGCAAAAAAACATGCTACTTAGAAGTGTTGTCTTCTGGTCAGTGGTCACCTTTTGTCCTTATGTAACTGTTTATAAAGCTTTTAGCATGAAACCATCATAAAAACGTACTTATACCTTTTCAATCCAACTCATGGAATTTATGGTCAATAGACCTCGTTTACACCTCATTTACACATAAATAAAGTTTTGAGGTAAAAAATTGCAACATTTTTGAATTATTCTGACAATAGTTTGGATGAAAGGGGCTTATCTTGATGGATTATAAAAGACTTAGGCCTATATGTCCAAGTTTATTAAGTAATCTGTTTGGAAATTATTTCAGGTGCTTTAATGAAAGTACATAATAACCAGATTGTATAAAGTTAGATTTAGAATTAGAAAAACCTTTAACCATGTCAAATGTGACCCGAGGACAGCAGGAAAATCTTACAGAAATATTTCCACTGCACCAGAAAGAAAAAGCCTTTCCAGCAGCGGTGGCTCACCCTGAGGCCGTTGATCTCTGCCACTTGTTCTCCTGTCAGCAGGCCGTGCGACAGGCTGCTCAGCCTCTCTTCCAGTCCCTCCACCTTGTCCTGCAGCCGGCTCTTCTCCTGCAGGATGTTGTCCACTTTGGAGTTGATCTCGACAGACAGGCCCTTGATCTCATCGTTGTTGGCTTTCAGCACCACCGTAGTTTTCTTCAGTTCCTCTTCTTCCTCTTTAATTTCATTGGCAAGCACTGAGAGCTGGTAAAACGAGCGGTCAAAGATGTTGATCTTCTGGAGGATGTCGTTTATCTGTCCTTTTGTCTTCTGAACAAACTCCCGCAGGCTCTGACCCAGCTGGAGGAGGCCGTTTGCCAGGAGGCGCACATCGTCCAGAGCGGCAAAGCGGGAGCGGGTCTCCACCGGGGCCTCGGGCTCCTCTGAGCCACAGAGGGCCGGGACAGAGGCAGCCGCCAGGACCAACAATACGTGAATAGGTGTAATTCTCATGTTGTCGTCGTGGTGGCGACATGTGTGTTGTGATGTTAGGGGGACAAATGGCAGCCCTCTCTCTCCGCTCTGACCGAACGAACAGTGAGGATCCTGGGCTTTATACACTGTCTGGAATGTGGTCAATGATTAACTCTGATCAATATCTGCATGGATGATTCAGTTTCCTCCGGATATCAAAAGTTCAGCTCAAGCCAAATGTCAGTTATTGGATTTAAAATGGTCATCAGTTTGATTAACCATGCAAATTTCATCAACGGAACATTGAAATTTAAATGATTTGACAACTTTGAATGTTGTCAAATGTATCAAGCAGTACTGTAGTTTTCCTGCAATGTTCAACCTAGCTCTCATTTATTTTCTTAAAAGGGACTGTTCAGATGATTTAAAGAGGAATGGTAATGGGTACTTATTTATAGTTGGTGTATTTGCTACAGTAGATGGCAGACTTTACAAAGTTTGATAAGTAACTAGTACTAGTACTGCTGTCGACGGAGGCAGATATTCAAGCAAGCAAAAATCTATTTCAGTGACGCCATATAGGAACATCTTCAAAGTTTTAATTCGCTGTGAGATATCTTTTTGTGACAGAAAGCTGAGAACAGCGAGTGCTGTCTTGAAAGCCGCCAGACTACATTGAAGAAAACTGTAATTTTAACTCACAGAACATGGGGGTTGCAGGCCTAAACTGGTTAGTTTGTGTCTTTGTGTAACTTTGGGTGTTTCTGATTCACCAAAGACCCAAAATAACCAATGTTTGCTTCTCCAAACTGAGGACATGCCTCTCGCATCTACTGAAGGTTATACAGTTGTTAATGTTATACACATACATATGGTACCTCATACATGTGTCAGTGTTTTCAACTTACCTGTAGAGACTTTATCTGAGGTCACAGCTGTTCTCTGTTATTGTTGCATGGCTAGTTCTTTATTCACAGGAATCTGACAAAATGTACATAAAGAAATTATTTACAAACGTGACTTACAAGCTCATGGTTTTGCAATGTTGAAAGTTATTTTATACGCTGTAGGTGCTGTGCAAATATGGATTGTTTGCATAAACTGTATAGGAGAAGTGTACAGTCACCTTGACCTACCTTGTTAGTTTGGGACTAGTATTTTGGAAAAACTGAGGGCACTCAAACCGTTAAACAGTGTTAGTGACGATCAATCACAACGTAGCCACGCCCTAAAGCATCACCGCTTATGGTCTATTTTACTTTAAATTGTACAATCATTTACAAAATGAACATCATTCTGTATGAGGTATAATTAATATAATCAATAATAAGTGAATACTTAAGGTAGAGAATAAACTCATAAGGAACATTTCTCCAGAGGTAACAAATGAAGTGAGTTGAGGGGTCATTCTATACAATCTGACTTGTATTGGCAACCGGAGGAGCTGCACCCTGCTTGCCATTAGAAAGAATGCAGCTTGAAGCCACGTTGACAGTTGCTTTACTTTTGAGACTTGGAAGTTGTTTGTATTGTAAATACAAAGACACAACTGCAACCTGATTCGACATGTAATTATTGCTTTATCTCTCTACAGTTAAAACACCATCACCTACATAAAGGTTGCAACCCTCCTTATGACTCACAAGCAGTGGGAGTATAAGGAGATATATTACTGCCAATCCTCACAGGGTGATGACCCATGTCCTCTGTTAAATGTTAACTACCCATATTAGGGTTTGGGTCGCATGAGCCCCGACAGTGTGTACACAGTAAACACAGCCCGCAACCCTGACTTCAGCACGGGGCCCTGTTCTCTGCAAGGGAAATTTGTTGTGGCCAACATTCATGAATCATTTGACAGAGCAGCCCCAGCGGAGCTTCTAAGAGCAAGCGACGTACAGTGGAGGGGCCATGGGGGCGCAAGGGGAAGTGTGTGATGAACAGGAGAGGCCAGGGATCAAAATGTACAGGGGTTGAAGGTGGAACATTGTGCTCATAAATACATATTTACGTCATTTATCGTTTAATTGTATAGAGATAGATGGGAAGAGGCCTAGAGGCATGATTAAAAAGTTATGTATCCACTGCTTTCCTCCCCATCTAGCCTATCCTGCTCAGTAAGTGTTGTAAAGATGGTCAATGGGCTTAAAAAAAAAGAATCTCCTATGAATAAACAAACAGTTCGTTTGCCTCCAGTTTGTTTGACGGAAATGTGTTGCATCACTTTTTGTTACTCTTAACTTTAGAGTCTAAAGTTAACCAGTGGTTCTCAAGAAAATTCAATAATGTACCCCCTTTGAAAAAAAGATTCAGCCAAGTACCCCCTGATCAGCGCAAAAACAATTTGTTAAGGAAAAAATGCCTATATAAAGAGGTACAGTAGGCCTACAGTGCTGCACCATCATTTATTAAAACAACAACATTGTAACTGAGAAACACTTAAATGCTACGTTTTAAATGTTTACAATGATCACTAAATTCATGGCAAACCAATTTTAACATCATGCAATAACACTAAGACGACATTAGTTGCATTGAACTGATATTTTTAATAAGTTGTACAATTTAGTGAGAAACATGGGCTTGTGCTTCACTGAGGAACCTTTGTTATTCTCAGTGACAGGAAGGCCACTGATTACACTTCGCTTTTTGAAATATGTGTAACTCTGTTAATATAAAACCCACACTGCTCAAACTTCGTTACTTTTCCTAAAATTGGTATATCTATTTATTTATTTATTTTGGGGCGTGGGAATGAAGAGAAAAAAATATATGAGCATTTTATGAGCATGGGATTTTAACCCCTCATATACATATGCATAATGCTGCACTATACTTGCGGCCGCACGCCGTTGCCAAGCAACGCTTATTGTTTAGGTGTCCTTCGATAAGCAGGCAGTCATATAATTAACTACAGTGGCGAGCCGTCAGGGCCCTCTAGCCGTCTGTGAGGGCCTAGTTCACACCTACGTTCACACCGGACGCGATGCGAACATTCGCTTCGCTCTAAACGCTCCTATCGCATCGCTCTAGTCTAGTCTAATGCTACGTTTATACCGGACGCGATGCGAATATTCGCTTCGCTCTAATCACTCAAGTTTCACCGCGGCTTGCAGTTTGTTTTATCGCGTCATTCAAAACAGACATACCGTTGACGCGCCGCTGGCTCGGGAGCTACAACTACAACAAAGTATGCTCACTCCACACTCATAACAACGGCCTACAGACATAAATAAACCAGCGACTGTATTCGCCATGAGACAGACAGTCTGTGGTTTGTACTTGTTTAACTTCTGTACAGTTTCTGAACAGATATGAGGAGCTGTGATCTCTGTGTGTTAACTGCTAACAGCTAATGGCTGATGTTTTCTGGTTGAACGTCAGTGACTGCAGGCTGAGATCCTCACCTCTGATTGGCTTCCGCGAGAACGCGTCACGTGAATTTGATGCTCGAGTTGAAAAAATTGAACTCTCGCGTTTGACGCGGCCCCCTTCAATCGCGTGATTCGCGCCGCGTCCACCGCTTTATGCGCGCCGTCGGAGCGAATTCGCGTCTGATCGTGTCTCTGCATTGGCTTTACATGTAATCGCGCCGCCCCCAAACGTCGCATCGCGTCCGGTGTGAATGTAGCATAATTGTCCGTTCACACCGGACGCGATGCGAATATTCGCTTCGCTCTAATCGCTCGAGTTTCACCGCGGCTGCCAGCTGTGTTTACTCGCATCATTCAAACAAGAAGCACTGGCTCGGAAGCTAACTACAACAAAATGAACATATTTTACCTTGATTAAATTGTAATACACGTTTCTAAATGATGCCGACGTAACAACATACTGATACCGGTTAGTAAAAA